TCATAATAGTACTATTTTTTAAATTTTGTATCTCCTTTAAGATTCAAAGATTTTAGAAGTTTTAGAATTTCCAACTCAAGAATATTTAATTCCTTTTTAGGTGCTACTAAGTCTTCTCTCTAAACTTCTCACTATAAACATTTGCTCAAGTATAATAGAATACTCATGAACTTAAACTTCATCATAATAGTACTATTTTTTAAATTTTGTATCTCCTTTAAGATTCAAAGATTTTAGAAGTTTTAGAATTTCCAACTCAAGAATATTTAATTCCTTAATACTAATTGAACCAACTCCTAAAAAAAAAAACCTAATTTCTAAAAATAAAAAAAAATGTATATCATGCAAATATGAATGCAAACTAATGTAAGAGCGATGCCTAAAAGTTATTCTCTCCCTCAAACTTAAATCAAACATTGTCCTCAATGTAAAATAAAAGTAGGAGAAAAGAGAAACTTCCTAGGTTTTGTACTTGAAGACTTAAAATTTAAGTTCTAAAGTTGAGTTGTCTTCGATTAGAGGAGACTTCTAGCATGTGAATTTCCAAAATGTATCCCCCAAACTTGTTCAGTGACTTGGCCAAAATCAAAGAACAACATTTTATGCATTATCCTGGGCCATAAAGAGACAAAAAATAATAAAAAATCTAAACTATTAAAATAAAAGACAAAGAAATAAAAGAAAAGAAAAACTTATGCTTAGGTTGCCTCCCAAGAAGTGCTTAATTTATAGTCATTAGCTAGACTTTCTACCACTCCAAGGTGGTTTTGGATCAAGTCGTAGGGCATGTCCTCTCATTTTCTTAAATCTTGGCTTTCTTGCCCTTAAGTTGAATCCACCATAAGAATTTCTCCAATGACTATTTTGTGATGGGTTGGGTTTAGGCCAAGAGATGTGCCTTCCCAATTCTTCTAGGATTGCCTCCTTTGATTCCAAGGAAGGAGAGGATGTGTTCAACCAATTTATGTATTCTTTGATTGGGTCCTTTGCTTGAATAAGATAAATCTCAAATGGATCCTCATAAATGTTTTCTTGCAAAATCTCATCAACCATATCAATAACAAAATAATCATTAAAATCAGATTTGGTTAAAAGAGACTCCCCATTGAACACTTCAAATGACACTTGAACTTTTTCCTCTTCTTCCTTAGGGACATCCTCTTGTTTAGTTTCTATAGGTATGCTTTCCACTTCTCTAAGTTGTCTTTCAATCTCCAAGGGTAAAAGTGTTTACCTCTATTTCTTGATTTTTCATTGTGGCACTAGGTAACTCAACTTGTATTTCTTCAGCAACTAAGTTGAGCGAATAACTTGATTGGACTTCCAAATTTCTATCCAAACATGTCTCCTCTTCTTGAGCTTGAAACCTTGATTGTGGCTCCAATATATATTCATTATTTCATGAGGAGTTTGAATAATTTATCCAATCAAAGTTGCATGTATTGGGATAAGAATTATATTGCTGACTATAAAAATCACAAGAAAAATCAACACGTTTGCTAGATGGTTAAAATAGCAATTAAAGCTAAAATGTTCAAATCCTCAACATTGACAAGTGATATTTAATCGTTTCGGTAAAGCCGTTCTTTACTTCAAACTTTTCAATGACTGCTTGAAATCATTCAAGTTCATCATCATCAATTTCTACTTCCCAATTGATAGTAATTGCTTCAACTTGTGCTCTTAACTCTGGAGCA